GGGACCGGGGGGGGGGGGCACAAGGGACCATGGGGCAGGGAGGCGATGCCGCCCAGGGAGCCTGGGAAGATGGTCTTAGCAGTCCTGGTCACACCCTTCCCCTGTCACCCCCAGTATCCATCGATGGCGTTGAGTGGAGTGACATCAAGTTTTTCCAGCTGGCAGCCCAGTGGCCCACCCATGTCAAGCACTTTCCAGTGGGACTGTTCAGTGGCAGCAAGACCACCTGAGGGCACTGTCTCTTGGCCACTCCCTTCTGGCACTACCACCTGTCTCACCGCCTGTGGGCAGGGGGAGGCCAGCAGGCCCAGGCTCAGCACCCCCTTTTCTGGCCCTGGGGCCTGCATCTCCCTTGCCATCCTGCCATCCTGAAGGACAATGCTACTGGGGTCCCTGCCCTGTTCCCCTCTGCTCAGGTCCATCCCTGGGTAGACCACTCTCTCCTCTCCACTCCTCCCCTGCTGGCCTGAGGCATTCCCTGGAATTAAGTCCTCTTGGCCTGCCTTCCCCAGACTTCCAACCTCTTTCTCCCAGTGGCACCAGTTCCTTTCCTGGAAATAGGAAACCTGGAATCCTGGCCCAAAGCAGGGAGTCCAGCCCTCCTCCCATTTTCTACAGCCCAGCTGCCAGTTGCTGCTCAGCCTGAGCCCACGGGACCCCTCCCCTCAGTCGCAGGGGCAGCTCCCACCCCTTCCTCTCCCCAGGACAGTTTCTGTGGCGGCGCTGTATATCTCTGTGACAGAGAGGCCTTCCTGGTCTCCCACACACACATGTCCTCACCACCCCCAGGTTCCCTGTAGATTTGGCCTGTGTCCTGAGCATTTCTTTGGTTTGCTGCACGGCCAGTCTCTTGGTAGTTCATGCAGTGCACCTGGGCACCAGTCCCTGTCCGTGCCCCGAGGCTCCTGTGTTGTTTCTCCCTCTGCCTCCCACCCCCTTCACCCAGCACAACTCTGCCTCTTCCTGAAACTCTGGACTCTGCAGAGCTGGGAGACAGCCCCCCACCAGTGTATTGTCTGTGGCCCCCAAGCCCTTTATTTCCTGTTCCCCCCCATGCCCATTTGTCTCCCTTTCCCTGGTCTGCTGTTCTCCACCTCAACTCCTGGGCCCCTGGTCATCCTCCCAGCCCCAGGTCCCTTCAGCAGGCTCCATTCCTTCCCTCACCAGGGCTTCAGGGTCTGAGCCCCTCCTCCGCCTCTACCATCAGCCTTCTCAAAAGAGGCTGAGCACAGTGGGTTGGGGTCCCAGATGCAGCCCTACGTCCCCCACCAGCACCTCCAGAACTTTACCATTGCCCTCTCACCCCTTCCAGAAGTTTGCACAGAACTTCATTTTGAAAACTCCCTCTCATTCTCCAGGCCTCCCCCAAGCTCCTCCAGCCCTCACCCATGGCTCAGCCCCACTGTCCAAAGCATCTCCAGGCTGTGCCGCTCTCCCTGCCAGAGAGGGCGGAGTGGGAGGGTCTGGGTGGATGCTGGATTTTTCATTCAATAAACCGGTGGTTTCTTACCAACTAGCGAGCCTTGGATTTCTTTGCCTCTCACTGTGGCAGCATCTGTCCAACCCCCACCCTTCTGCACAACACAGCCAACTCGGCTCAAAAACCACTGGGAGCTGGCTTTGGGAAGAAGCAAATCCCATTGTCTTAATCGTAAAAACAGAGGCATGAAAGTGTCTTGCCAGTAGGGGGCGAGCAGGGGTCCGAAACACCACCATTCCCATTCCAAATCCCCTCTTTCCCTTGGTACTACCATCGTTTTTGGAAGTTGGTGAAGTCTGAGGCCAAAGGGCTCTCTGCACCTGCAGGTGGAGGGGGTCAGGCAGGGTCCATCACTGAGGCTTTCCTGCCACCCTTAACCTTAAAGATGGCAAACAGCCCTAGCATCTGCTCTCTGACACCTGCTTCGTCCGCTCCCAGGACAGGCATGTATGCCAAGCCGGCCCCTGTGACCAAGTGCCCAGATGGGGGACTTGGCTTTCTCACCCTGTAGGACAGCCACAGGGGTGGGCAGCCAAGTGGGGCAGGCAGTCACTGGCTCCCTGAGCCCCTTTGGCCAGGTAACAGGGAGGCTCTGGGACCCAGGGGTGTGGCCCTTTGCAGACTCTTACCCTGGAAAATGGAACAAATCCTGCCTCCCAAGGGGGACAGTCCAGTGTGGTCTGTGCAACTGTCCCAGAATGCAGCCTGCACATTAGTTACCAGCGAGGTGTACAATCTGGCCCATGAGAGGAGCACCTCAGATGTGGCTAAGGTGACTAGAGAAAACATGAGTGCTCCTCAGGGCAGAGTGGAGGTGCCCACCGGTGCCCACAGGAGGCCTTCCCAGGAGTGGGCAGTGGTGGCCACAGGCAGGGCAGGGGCTTAGGTACCTGGGAGCCAGTGGGAGTCCCAGGCTGGAGGGGTGTGGGGCAGGCGGAGTTGGGTGCCAGCTCCTCACCCTCTCAGGTTCCAGCTCAGAACTGAGAAGAGGGTGATGGGGAACGAGAGTAAGGAGGCAGGAACTTCTGCAGCCTCCCTGCACCCGCCTCCAGGGCTTCACCCGAAGCCTGTGCCCCTCCCCCTCCCCTGCTCCCGCCTTCCCCAGGGCTTCGCTGCTGCACTTGGCCCCAACCCCTGCACCAGCCCTCCCCTCTCTCTGTGGCTCTTTCATGAACACACAGTAATAGCTCCCATGTTCAAAACAACTTCCCTGATTCTTTTTTTTCTTATAAAAACAGGTATTTATTTCTCACAGTTCTAAAGGCTGGAAGTCTGAGATCAGGGTGCCAGCATACCGGGTTCTGATGACAGCTCTCCCCCGGTCACAGATAACCGTTTCCTGTGTCTTCACGACAGAAACCACTCCCCTGATTCTTTTTTTTTAATCCTCACCTGAGGATATGTTTCTATTGATTTTAGAGAGAGAGGAAGGGAGAGGGAGCGAGAGAAACATCGACCAGCTGCCTCCTGTTCGCACCCAGATCAGGGATCAAACACCTGGGGATGTGTTGTCCTGACTGGGAATCGAACCGCTGCCTTTTTGGTGTATGGGGTGAAGCTCCAACCAGCCCAGCCACCCCAGCCAGGACCGCTTCCCTGATCCTTGATCCCCTTCGGCGGCCGCACCAGGTCTCCTCCCCTTAGAGTGAAATCCTTCAGAAGAGCTTGTTCACTCACTCTCCCTGCCTCCATGTCCTCCCACTCCAGGCTGTTTCCTTGACAAGCCCATCAAAAGTTTTCCCACCAAGGTCACCGATGACCGGGGCTGCCAAATCCAAGCGTCTGTTTTCTTGTCTGACCACCAGGAGCATTTGATGTGCATACTCCCTGCCAGAATCGCTTTCCCCTTGGCCTGTGGCGGGCACTGCCCTCCTCCCACTGGACTGGCTGCTCTTTCTTGGCCTCCCTTTGTCCTGCTCGGCTACCCAGCCTTGAAACACCCAGGCTCCCCCTCTGGCCTCCCGTCTCCGCTCACTCGGCCCTGTGGTGTGAACGGCTCCCTGTGCACAGACTTCCCCTCCATTCTTCAGTTGCTGAGGCGGGAAACTTTGGAATCACCTTGGCTCTTCTTTCTCACACCCAACATCCAGTCCACCAGCAAGTCCTGTAGGCTTGTCCTCCAAGGCAGAGTCGGAACCCAGCAGCTCCTCACTTTCTCTGCTGCTGTCGCCTCTCGTCTGGATACTGCAACAGGTTCCTTATTCCCTCTGCTTCTGCTGACTCTTCCTGTCGTCTATTCTCCACACAAGAGCCAGAGAGAGCCTTTTAAAATGTTAAATTGTGTTGAGTTACTGGTTCAAACAGTCCAACAGCTTCCCATCCCCCTAAGAATATAATCCAAAGCCACGTCATAACCTGCCAGGCCTCCCTGATCTGACCTTCGGAGGGCTGTGTGATTCCTTCTCACTCTCCCCCTCGCTCACCGGCCTCCTCTACATTCCTCAGACACACCCGGTGCATTCGGTACATTGGGCCTCAGGGCCTCTGCACGGGCCATCCCCCCTGCCTGCCCATTCTGCTCCTAGCCCAGGGTCCATGTGGCTTACTCCCTCCAAGTCTTGGCTGAAAAGTCACCTCGGGGAGGCCTTCCCTGTTCAACCCTCCAAACTTCCTTTTCTCTTATTCTTCATTTTTCTTATTAGCACTTCTCACTCCTTGGCATTAATTATTTTTGTTTGTCTCCTCCTTACTAGAATGTAAGCTCTAAGAAAACAGGAACTCTGCCCCCCCAGGGTACCCCTGGGCTCATTACAGGCACACAATGCATGTCTGTGACAGAGAATGAAGAGCCCTGTCCTGTTGCAACAGGGCCCTACGCCAGACTTGCTGCTCAGACACCGTGAGGCCTCAGCCCTAAGGATGCCCGAGGTTTCTCACAGGCCCTGGAGGAAGAAGACAGGCTGAGCAAAGAGGAAGAGGCCATGTAGGAAGGTTTGCAGGCCCCAGACGGGGCGGCTCAGGCAGGAGGTTCACACCTGAGACGGCTTGCCCACCCAGGTGCTGGGAGTGGAGGCTGGACCCGAGCAGAACTGCCCACGAGCCACAGCTGACCCTTCAATAAGATCCTTCCTCCTTGCACACGGGCCTAAACATGCTGTTTGGTCCCCTTTAAATGTTCCTACTGCCCCACACTTATCCTCTTGGCCTACTCACCTCCTCAGAGGGCTTTCCAGACCACCCTGCCCAAAACTGTCACCTGCCATAAGTGTCTTTGTAGCACATTAGAATGGGAGTCCCAGGAGGGCAGGACTCCTGCTGACTTACCCGTTGCTCCGTATCCAGCACCCATCTCTCTGGCATCTGGCAAATGCTCAGCGAGCTAAAGGGATGAGTCAGGGGTTCGGTTGCTTGTCCAAGGCACACAGAGCGGCAGAGAGGGAGTCAGGTTTCTAACCCAGGTCATCGGACTCCAGGCGATCACTCAAAGTCCTACGCAGATCCCAACTGCCCAGCCATCCATATGTCCCGCATCTATTAGGTTCCTACTGTGGGCCAGCTCCTGTCCTAGGCATGACGGTACCAGGATGGACATGGGATTGGGTCCTTACCTGTATGGAACCCTGAGGCTAGCAGGGGAGACAGACAAATAGAGACAATTGCCACACAGCATGACAGGTTGCATGGCAACCCACTGGAGGGGCATCTAACCCAGCCTGGGGAGGGATGTCCGAGAAGATGTTGCAAAGGAAATGGATGTTCTGGGTACAGCAACAACTAGAGCTAAGAGAGTCTGGCCCATCCTGAGACCCGCAGGTGGTTCATGTGGCTGAAAAGCAATGCGGATGGTACAGGACAGAGGAAGCGGCTGGGACGCGGAGGAGCCTTAGAGCTGTGATTATTACTGCTCTGTGCCGCAGGGTAGACCGTGCATGTTATCCTGAGGTCAGTGGGGAGCCAAGAAAGGGTTTTAGGCAGAAAGGTAAGGCGGTGGACTGTAGAAAGGTCACCTGCTACAACACGTGGAAGGAAACGAGCCTGGAGACCAGAAGAGTTGGAAGGGAGTTACAGCAACTTAGAAAAGCTGTGGCCAAGGCAAAGGCTAAGGCAAGGGTAGAAGAGCTGGGGAAATGGAGGCCTGAGCTTTATTTAAAAGATGGAATCAACAAGTTAGTTAGGGGAACAGGATAAAAGAGAGAGTCGAGGATCGGGGCTGGCCATGGGTGAACGAGCAGATGGTAGAACATCCCTGGGGGAGATCTGGGTGGGAGGAGGGAGGTTTGGGGTGAGGAGGGTGTGCTATTCATAGGTGGGTGTTGAATATATAGGCCTGGGTGGAGCTCAGGGGAGTGATCTGGGCTGATGGAGAGTTGGGCTCCCTCGGCATGTGGGAGAGCTGACCTTCGGCTCCCTCCATCCTGACCACGTAGGGCACCTTCGTCCAGCACCAAACATCTTAGTGTTATAGTCGGACTTGCTTTCTCTTTGCAGCCCCATGTGTTGCTCTCTTTCACTCCGAATGTGTTTTCTCTCCACCATAAGCAGAGCTTGCCTTATGTGCCATATTTTTTCTTCCCACTGTCCATTCACATGCACAGGATCTGTTCAGTAGTGAGCTTGAACAGATGGTGACAATAAATATCTACTAGGAATGGTGTCTTTTAGGTACAAAGCATAACGTTAAGATCTGAACTCTGCTATTTAATCCTTTATCTTGAGAACCCAACAAGGTAGGTACTAGGAACCTCATTCCACAGAGGAGGAAACAGGTAAAGTTAATAACACGTGTAAATTTGCACAGCTGGCAGGTGGAGAAACATGCCTTTGAATTTAGCTCAGTCTAACCCCAAAGCCTGTGTGCCCTCCTACTGAGCAGGACGTGGACCCTTCTAGGCTGGTTGGGAGGGCACAGGAGGTGACCTACAGATTTGCTGTGTGGCTGCCAGGAGAGGAGCCAGGAACCTCTCAGGGGAGCTCTGAGCAGACTCAATTCTTGTTTCAGTGGCAGAAAAAACTGACAACCAGAGGTGTTCACAATGCCATGGGCCCCTCAGAAAGTGGTGAGATGTGCTTACGTGGGGACACATGATCTTTAAGAAGCCTCCAATCTTGAGCCTTTATGGGTGACCGAGTGGATGTTTCAGGGTGGGGATGATACACTTAGTAAAGTGCCCCCTGGCCACTTCAAAGAAAAGGAGTGAAGCTAGCCAAGGGGAAAAGAATCATTTAAGAAATCAGACTTCAGTGGGGTGAGTGCTCCTGAGGACCCAAGGGAAAGGGTGGGAGCAGAGGGAAGGATTTGCAGGGAGAAAACAATATTAAAAGTAGCAAGAACAATGTCCCCAGACCTGGGACCAGCGCGGGTAAGCCCATGAGCTGTGTGGAAAATGGCATAAGGAGCTGAATCACCGCTGAGCATGGGCTCCTTCCTTTCCTCTCCCTTAACTCTGCATGCATCAGCAGCTTGGCGTGAGCCCAGCAGCTCTGGGGGGAAGGGGTGTGCAGAACAGCGGAGGAAGTAACAGTCCCTTCCTGTGGGAGACTCGCTGTAGAATCCTCAGAGACAAGATAAAAAGCCGAGTGGCTGGGAAGGTTTGAGCACATGCAAGGTCAAGCACCGAAAGCAAGACCAGAGTCTGAGAACCGGCAGGGCAGGAGGGGGGAGCAGGGCAGCTGCCCAAAGAGCATCTCAGAGAAACCACAAAGCCTGCGGGGAGTTGGCAGAAAAGCCAGAAAAAGAACCCAGCAAAAGTCACAAAAGAAGATTGGAAAATGCTCTTTCCATCCACCTGGAAAAAGATGATTAAAAAAAAAAAAAAGTGCTCCTTTATTAGATGGAAAAAATACACTAGGGAAGAAAGCAGGGGTCGTGGATATGTTTGTGCTCGGCATGTGTGGCCTGCACCTGCGCATGCCTGTGAACCCACTCGTGTCCAGTGCCTCTGGGGAAACTGCCTGAGGCCGTGTGCAACTGTGCTTTTGTGTAGGTGTGAAGAAGCAACTTGCCCTCGATCCTCTTGACCTCTACTCCATGCAGTCGGTGTTGTCTCTTACACACTGGTACAAAATGACCTGGACTCTAGATTAGGGAAGGACACAGTGGCCACTGGGAGCCTGAGCTCCCCGGGAACAGCAGGCTCTCTCACTCATGCAGCTGCCTTCCCCTCTCTGGGCCTCAGTTTCCTTACTTGTAAAATAACCTAGGGGCTTTCCACCTAGGGTGCACATCGTGGGCACCACTGAAGTTTTAAAATAAGAGATGGCCAGAGCCTGGCACCACCAAATCCCAGTCTCTAGAAGGAGAGCCTACTAACAGTTTCTTCACGAGATTCTGAAACCCAGCCTCATGAAGAACCACAAAGGTGCCTGGGCTCCAGATTCTGTTTCCTCCCTGTGAGCTTGCAGGCAAGTTGGGAGCGCAGTTGCGGCTGACGGGGCCTCCGCACAGAGGCAGGCTCATCGGCCACAACCAGAGCGCCTCTGGGAGACAGACAGACTCCAGTCGCAGAAGACTCCTGTCTTCGGGGCCCTGGAGAAAAACTGACCAAATGAAACTGACAGGGATAAACACAAGCTCTGCACTGATGCAAACAACATAATTGACACAGAAACTGGTAACAGCAGGTGCTTCTGGGCAGGGGAGCTGTGTGGCTGAGGACAGTGTCAGGAGGGAAGAACATTTCATCGTTACTGTATCTTCCTTCTGTATTTTGCATCATATGACTGTATTAGCTATCTTTAAAAATCACTGGGGGAAAAACCATTGGCAGAAGCACAGGACTAGGGAGAAGAACCTATCTGGATATAACTGGGACACACATAATCTAGCGTTTTAGCTGACAATCTTGCCCTCAGAACAGTGTGGTGGCTGTCAAAGCCTGACTTGCGACTTCACAGAGGACAGGTGGCATGTTCATTAAGAAGGGACCATCCTTCTGTGATCTGTGTTCACTCCCCGCTGGATCCCTGGGCCCTGGACTGAGCACCATGTTCTAAGCAGTGTCTGGACAGGCACACTAAACTACACTCAGAAAAGAACTCGGGATGGAGAAGGGGCAGGAGTGGGTGAAGAACATTGCAGTCCCTGAATATCTTCATTGGTAAAAGGGAACAGACTGTTCTTCCTGAAGACAGAGCCTCTGCTTGGTGTGGGGAGCACTGCAGAAAGGTGCTTTTGTGGCTATCTAAGGAAAAGCTTTCTAGTCTTTAGTCTCACAGAAGGTAGTAAGCTCCCTGTCACAGGAAGTACTTAAACTAGGAGCACCTGGCCAGCTCTCTGTCAGAGATGATGCTAAGGAGATTCTCTCATCCATAGAATGCTGAAGCTGGCTGAATCTCAGTCTGAGCCCACCCTGACTCGTGAGAAACACCCAGGTCCCTGGTACCAGCATTAGGCCTTGCTTTGCAGCTTTTGTCCTTTGGGGTGGTTGTGCTGCTGTCGCTCACTAATGACATCGACCCAGGGCAGTGCCAGGGTAGCCACCACCCCAAGGCTGCAGAGCACCAGACCAAAACCTGGGCCTGGCAGGGACCTGGCAAGGCCAACAGGTGCACACTTACTGAGTGCTGCTATGTGGCTGGCCAGGGGCTACTCCGGGAGTGAACATGACAGGCAGGACTGGGCCTACATTCTAGGGAGGGGACGGGAAACTGACAAGAGGACTGTTAGAAGGGATAAATGCTATAGAGATAATTAAATGCATGCATGAGATGGACTGGAGGGCTGCTCTACATGGGGGGGGGAGAAATCAAGCAAGGGCTCTCTGAAAAGGTGACATTTCATCTGAGCCCCGAATGACGTCATCGCCTTGTCCTGATTGTCCTGCCAGCAGCATCTGTTGTGGTCACACACGGGCACACGAGTTCATTTTGGCAGACAGCTGCCCTCTGCCACCCTGCGCTCCCTTACAGCCAGAAGCCTCCATCCCTTCCCCCCAGGAGGCAGCCTTAAGTTGTCTGAATCCTACAGGATAGTGAACGGTTCCACAGGAGTCGGGTGGGGCACAACCGGAGACAAATGAGCCCGAGGTGGGTCAGATCTGAGAGATGCGATAACAGCAGCGCCCGCTTCGTCGGGTCTTTGCGAGTATTCAGTGAGTTAACCCGCTGAAGGCATCAAAGCAGCTGACACGCGGCTTAGAAAGCGGCAATTCCCTCAATATCAATAAATGCCCAGAGCCTCGCCGTGGGCTCCGGGCCGGCCCTTGTGCCTCAGGGTCTCTCGCCGTCCTCTCTGGCCGCGGCATGGGCGCGTTCGGGTTCAGTCTCCGCAGCCTGTCCACGCTCCTGCGGCCTCCACGCAGCTCACCGGCGAGAAATACGAGGCCGCAGGTGCGCGGAGGCGGCTGGTGGGAACC